CAATATGCCTGCCAAACTGGCTCGTGTAGCACTGTGCCCTTCTGCAAAATCAGGAAAAGCTATCGTACGATAGTCTCACAAAAAAACCTTTCTCATTCATCAGCTGCAGCAGTATTTTGTGAGGAGATTCTTAGCTATATCCTTGTTTTGCTGTGCGTTTAGTAGCAAACTGAAAGTGAAACTGTTTGATCTTATGGATCAATTGGCTCTGTGTTGCTGATCAAATCATTCCACACAGACAGATGAACGGAGCAGCATTCCCCTCCTCCACGGCAGAGATGGCAGAGAACCGTATTCAGTACGAGCTGGAGTACACCGAGGGGATCAGCCAGAGGATGCGCATCCCTGAGATGCTCAAAGTGGCTCCTCAGGCCAACGAGGACCTTAATGTTGGATCTCAGGAAGTCATCCCCAGTGTCATAATGCAAGTCCCAGAGAGAATTGTGGTTGCAGGTTGGTGTACTGTCAGCTGGGAAAAACAGGAATAAATCCCTTGAGGGATTTGTTCCATTTTAAATGTTATGAGTGGACAATAGGATTTTCAGCATTTCTGAAATGAGTTTTTTGAAAGTGTGCAGATCTGACTTGTGATTTTTTTCCAATTATTTAAAGGCACACTGGCATGTTGGGTCACTGTACATGTGAAAACAGCTAGAATTTGTTATTCAAGTTTAGCCTTTGAATCAAAGCACATTGTTTAAAGCACTGATGAAGAAAATCTATCAGTCTCAGACTCTAAACTCCAATTCACAACTTTCTTTGTCAGGAGACAGTAATGACCCCCAGTTCTCCAGACCTAGAGACCTGGACCTAATCCAGTCAACACCACTAGAAACTCTATCACTGAAGACTCCACCCAGAGTCCTCACCCTCACTGAGCGGCCTCTGGACTTCTTGGAAGAGGAACAGCGGGCAGCTCCAGACACCGAGGAGGTAGTAAGTGAAAAAACTATGTCTTTTAGTAAAGACACAACATAAAACCAACTCATCGACTTCATCAATTTCCTCACAGTAAGCCACAGCCTAAATAAATCAGCTGTAATTTTTCCCTGTAGTTGCGGCACCAAGCACGAGTACGGCGGGAACGCTCAGTCAGTGAGAATGCAGTTCTCCGTACTAACAGTCAGCTGGTACGGAATGATTCTGCGTGAGTATTGACCTGAATATGCCATTATTATTCTGGCACCAACTCTGTCTCCTGTTTTATGTGCTTCCACTAGCATGTTGTGTCTTTCTTTTGGTTCTATCCTCTGTCCCTTTGTCTTCTGACATGGCTGGTTGTCTGTTGTCACAGACATTGTAAACTGTTTTGCTGTGAGAACCTTTGCTGCTCTCAGTGTTAATGGAGACTTCAGCTGTTTTTGTCACTGACTATTAACTAATCACTTTACACAACTGAGTTACAGCATACATGTCACCTTTGAATTGCTCATTTCCAGATTTTAGGAATCAGTAGAAAAGATGAAAAATATTGCCTTTTAGTTCATAAATATCCTTCAAGACCACACTGCCCCCTCAACCACTGTAGGATATAAAACAAAACACATTATAGGAAAATAATGGTGTTAAACATTTTCAATGCAAAGCTATTCAGATGTCAAGATAACCTGGATTATCTATACCTTTTCAATGTGGGACTACATTACGCTACATGTTCCCTGTGGCTTTGTTGTTCATCTCTGTCAAAAATGCTTTTCATGTCCTGATCACTTTCCTCCACATGTATATTTATAGGGTCACCATCTCCTGTTTGCCATGAACAGTGAACAACACAGTGCTCTGTTTTGAGTAATGTAATCAAAATCGGAGTCATGTACTAATCCTTTTAGTTTACGTCTCCTTTTCCATGTATGTTTTTGTTGGCGTGAATTATGTTAGTAAAGCACTGATAGTGGTTTTCAGGTTAAATTTCTAGCTGTGCAATATTTATTTACTTTTTACAGTCAGTAAAATTGAGGACAGTATATTTTTCCTTATTTCTCTCCCTCTCCTCTTTACTTCCCCTCTTTCCTCTTTTGTCCTTTTCTTCCCTTTTCTGCTGAATTGGCTGCTCTTAATGGTGGGCACTGAGCAGTGCAACCCCGCCCCCCCCAGCCATTGTCCACCCTTGCCCCCCACTCACCGTGACTGAGGAAGAAAACAACTTGTACAGCACTAGTGGTGTCTTTCATCCAGGCTACTCCAAGTCGGGCCTACCGGCAGGTCCTGGACGTCTTGGATGAGGACCCTCGCAGGTGACCTCCCATTCATCTGGTCATTTTATGCATACAAAAAATGGAAACAATTTGGCTCACTAGGTCTTGGTCAGAGAGGGCAATACAGACTACATCAGCTGTCTGTACCTATTGAAGGTTTACACTAAATTTACTTTGATTTCTGCTGTTAAGCATGTTTAGGAAAATGGGAGGTTTTCACATTGTGTCAGTGGTGTTTCTGAAATGTTTTTTGGCCCTTAGTCATATTGAAAGCTTGGGTGTGTTAAGCATTGTATGACCATTTTCAGACTAACTGCTTCCAGTTTTCATTAATGATGTTAATACTGCATGTATTAATCACAGAAAAGCTTTGTTTTATGCACCTTTCTAATCTGTGGCTTTGGTTCAGACCATTACTGCTGAACATATTCTACTGTAACAGTCGCAGCTGAAGGACTAAAATGTCAACTAGTCACTTTTAATTTAGATTTTATGCTAGAGGAGAGTTAATGATTCCTTGTAGGAAATTTGTTTGTTGTATCATTATCAGAAATATTGAAGACATTGATGTCGTATCAAAAAGAGGCCTATATGAAGTGAACTAGCACTGGACCTTGAAACTAAATGTCTATTCAAAACTTATGGGTCGGGAGAAGCTGTAAACAAAGAAAACTGTGGAAAATAAACAGTGTGTAGTTCATTACTGAGCAAAAAGTACCTTAAAATACTCTCATACACATTTTAGTTTACACAGTCTTCAAGATATTGCATCTGTTTGAACTTTTGGATGTTTGACTACCAGAGGGTTGCATAAGGTGAAATCAGAAGGAAAGATGCTCTAAATGTTATTCATAAATGTCTGTTAATACCTTCTGCACACTTTGGATTTTTTTCCCCCCATGTTCTTATCCCCACATTTGGTAGGAGGTACAGTTTATGAAAACTTTTAGAATCTTTGTGACCTGTTTTGGAAAGATATGGGGGAAAACAAGTCATGTGAAATAAGACATTGCTCAAGGCCCAGGAGATTGGTTACCAGGACAACGCAAAATGCTGATATGTGAAGGATGTGCAATTTGTGCCTGCATGTGTGCAACACTGTACCGTGTGTTTCTCTCTTATTTTTCCTTCTGCCACCCCTATCTTTCCCTGCCTCTTCAGCAAAACATCTCTGCGAGGGGGGTCAGCTTCAAGCTCTAACCCCCTGAACGAATCCAGGTAACTTCACCTGGCACTTAATCGTCACTGTGTTCCTTTTTCCTTTTTCCTTTTCCTCATTCTGACTTACCTTATATTCTGATATTGGGTCAAAATATAAGATCAGAAAAAAGATGTGGCTTTTGTTAAATTGTGTGCAGTATATCTAGAATGTGCTATTTAAATAATATGCTCTGTTGAATTATGTAATTCTTAAAGTGGCTGTTTTCTTTTCAAGGTATGCATTATCAGCATATGAAGCCACACTGGATGGGGGGCCTGATGATATGACTGTGGTTGATGCAACAACACTTCGACGTCAGGTTAGTTCTTAATAAATATGCTATCTCTGTCTTGTGGTGTGATAGCTAATTGTGAAACCCCTGTGACTGAGAAAACCTTTTTTTTTCTGGTTTATCTGTAGCTCATCAAGTTGAACCGGCGACTCCAGCATTTGGAGGAGGAGAACAAGGAGCGAGCAAAGAGAGAGATGATCCTGTACTCAGTCACTGTAGCTTTCTGGCTGATCAACACGTTGGTGTGGTTGCGACGTTAGACCCGGCCTGTGACATGCAAGGAGAACGTACAATCCCTTATCACATGTCAGATGTTAGCTACTCGTTGCACTGAGTCTCAGTGTCAGGAACAGGGCTGATAATTTAATTTTGTTTATTTAATACATGTATAGTTTTATTTTTTTACTCTGCTCTCACACGGTCTAGTCTGTTTTCTCATGTTTTGTTTTTATTCCAAACCCTCTTGCTTGCTGCTAAGCATGACTTGTTGTAAATATGTCACTCAGAGCTTTGGAAAGAACACATCTAGAGCTACAGCATAGCATAGTTTACCAAAATAGGAAAATGGAGATGTATCACGTATATTTATTGCAGAGAGAGTAATAAATGTAATACAATTTAGTAAAACCATATATATGAAGTGTTGTCCTGTATTTTTATTGAAATGCACTCATCATGGTAATTTTGCTGTTATTTGAAGAAAGAACATTATATTAGCCTGACATTGTCTTAAATTTAACTTGTTTTTTTTTCTTTTTGTTTACACTCTATATTTTGAATCATAATTTCTGCCTAATGCCAATGTTTTCATTTCTTAAATAAATGAATATTACTGTAGGATTTTTTTTTTTTTTTAATTCAGATGCACTGTAAACTGACTTGAAGGTACAGGGCTAGTATAACCCCAACAGGAACTATTACCAGTTCAAAGAAGAATTATATTTTCAACACAGCTTTAAAATTAACAACCATATAAACAAAATGGCTATGATATTTTATTACTAAAATATGACAGTTCATTACCTTTCACTAAAACAGCTAAGCGTTTTTTAGTTAAAGCAGGTTTATAAATGTCTGCTACTTGTCTGCAAAAAAAAATAAATATTTGAAGCTGTGTCCTGTGATATTAGTTTAAATCTTGAAAGCATCAATCCAGCTCCTCAATCAGGCAGCTTGATGGAGAGGACTTGGACTTTCCCACAGGTTTAAATATCTGTGGCTCAAGGACAACACAATCTTCTGGATACAACAGCGATGAAGAATTGTTAGAGACCTCAGTGAACAATGAACTTTTGTTTGGACTAAACATGGGGGTGACCTCGCTCTCACTCCCGAGTGACTCATCGCTGCTTCCTGATATGACCTCTATTTTTGGTCTGACCACTTGCTGAGAAGAGACCATTGCAGTGAAGTCTTCTGTATCCACATCCTCCAGATCAGGCAAGTCATCAATACACAGTGACTGATGTAGTGGAAGGTGAATAGTTTCCAGCTGCTTTACATCCAGAGGATGTAGCTCTGTCACCAGTGGTCCAGGATAGTGTACTGGTGCCACCTCATCTCCTTTGGGAGGAGCTTCCCTGACCAAATGAGGTTGTTTCTTCTCACACTGCTCACTCTTTATCTCTAGCATGCATCCCTGCTCATTCTCTGATTCACTGAGTATAAACTGGATTCTACCTGAATGTTTCTGTTGTTTGTTACTTTGAATTTCTACTTGCCCTCTTTGTAACATCTCTGCTGTTGTGCTCTCTTCCTCTCTTGCAGACAGGTCAGGATTCCCTCCTTCTTTCTGTTCTCTCACAGACTGCAGTTGGTTGTTTTTTACTAACTGCTCTTTCTGCAAGTCTTGATCTGGCGGCTCTGCGTCTAGATGTTCACAGTTTGGCTGATGATCACTGGGCCACTGTGTTGTTTGACTCTGTAAGAACTCCTCATGGGCATCCAGGGTGTCCTGCACACAGGCTTGGAGTTTCGCCTCGTGCGATGAAGTCACAAATTGGGTGTCATTTTGCTCATAAGGAGTGGTGGAAACCTCAGTCTCCCCTGAAATGAAAAAGACAACTTTTTTTAATGTGCATGTTCATGGAGGTGTGAACGGTTTTAAAACTGTGTTTACCTTTCTCCTGGAGATCTCTTAAGCGTTGTCTTTCCAGGGCTTGGTTTCGAATCATTTCCATGGCATCCAAGCTGTCCTGAATTTTCCTCCTCTCTCTTGTTTCCCAATGTTCCCTCTCTTTACGCTCCCCTTCCATCCCTCCCACAGCCCATGCCTCTGCACATGCCCTGTCTTTGGGGAATACAGGGCGATCATCAAGGAAGGTGAGCTGCTTCAGGCGTACAATCATGGTCTTCCTGTAGTTTGGGATTTTTTTCACTACCTCATTTCCCATTAGATTTAGCACTCGCAGTTTTGACATGGCCTCAAGTACAGTGATGATCTCAGGGTCATTTAGCAGATTGTGGGACATGTCCAGCACGCTGATGGCCAGACACTGGCTCAGGTGTTCTACATCACCCACAGTTTCCAGCTTGTTATGGGCTATCTGCAGAGTGCTGAGGTCAGGAAGGCAGGAGATGTTCTCTATGGTGCGTATGTAGTTGTTGGAGACATTCAGACTGCAGAGCTTTTTCAGGGGTTCAAGGTTTTCCAGCTTGTATATGAGGTTCTGTTGAAGGAACAAGCAGCGCAGATCAGTCTGGGCATGCAGGTTCTCAATGCGTTGAAGCCCATTGCTCTCCAGCCAGAGACACTTCAGTCCCGTGTACTCCTCTAAATTCTCAATGGTGGAAAAACCTTTGAAATGCAGATACAGTGTGTCATTCAGGCAAGGTGTTGAGTAAAGTTTGTGCTGCTTACAAAGGTCTTTCAGGAATTTCTTGGTCATTAGTGGCCCTGATTGCGTTTCCTTTGCTGATGCTTGAGATGGATTTTGAAGCTTTTCTTGTGCTCCTTCCTTTATCGTGGCACCTACTCCATTTTTAATACAAGTTCTTCTGGCATCTCCACCATAGATTTCACTTGCTGCCACAAAATCTCCCATCATTTCTCGGAATTCGGCAGAAGGCGTCGCAAATGTATGAAATTACGCAAGCAGGAGAAACTGAAGTTGTCTCTACTTGTTTTTCATTTGTTTTATGACAGTTCGTCTGTTGTCTAATATCATAAGCTATCCGCTTTGTCCGCTAAGGTTTGTTTGTTTCCCTGGTAACGCTTAGGCCCGATCGTAGCAGAATGTTTCTTGTCGGACACTTTTAGCAGTTGGAACTTCTTGTCAGCTAATCAACATGGCGTTAAGATTCATGGTAAATCGTGGTGCATTAACGTTAGGAATTCATTGTCACCGTGTTTCCAGAAATATATCGTTATCGCAGGTTAGAGAAAAAAAGCGATGGATGAGAGCATACACATACCTCATGGCGAAGAAGTTGAAGCTTGAGGGACCTCCACCACCGAAGCCACGGTAAGGCTAATGTTAGCTAACACAAGAGGCACCTCAAGGCCGTTTGTGTATTTGATAAGTTAAGTCAGTGCGTGTTCATGAATTTTAACTGTTTGGATAGGATTACGATATACACCGTTATATGTTAGTACATTACGCGTGTAGACATTATAGATCATTGCATAGCAGTGCTGGTGCTAGTTCCACAGTTTTTAAAGCGAATCCAGCAGCGTAGCTGGCGATCATGGTTCATTTGCACAAATGGACACAAGTCTGTGTCCCCCTTTAGTCCCTATTCGTACTTCCTTATTTTATATTTAAGAAAATTGCATTAATGATAATCTAGTAACCGCAAAGTTTTTCCATCCTCAATCACACGTTTCCTGCTAGGGCAGAGAGTACTAGGCTGACAAACTAAGTGTGCAGTAATGTACAGTATGTATCAGCTCAAACTAACTACTGTACATAGGGACTTTTTGCATAACCATACCAGCACCAGTGATTGCCATTTTTCACAAGCATGTATGACCCAGTTTGGAAGCTTTTTGCAGAGAACATTAAGACTCAGAAAGTCAGGATGATGTCTATGTTTGACTTTCTTTCAGCTCTCAGCAGCCTCATTGGGATTACCATGCTGAGGTTCAGGCTTTCAGCACTCGCCTTCATGAGAACATCTCCTTGGAGCTACTTAAAACAGCTTTCATCAATCCGTGTTACCTGCAGGCAGAGCAGGAGAGGAGACAGAGGTTAGGTGTGGACTCCGAGACCACAGCTCTTGTTCTTAAAGATAATATTCATCTGAGTCAAAAGGGAGCAGGTTTCACCCAAAGCTTCCTGACCGACTGGTGCAGGGCCAGCTTCCCAAATCTGCCAAGCGAGGGGGTTGAGAGTATTGTAGGGCACCTCACCAGTTCAGCAGTTGTGACCTATGTTGCAAGAAATCTTGGCATTGAAGACCTTACCATGAGTGCAGAATTCCCTGTTCCTGATGATGTGCTCCATTCTACATTCATGGCAGTTATTGGAGCTCTACAGGAGAGCAGTGGAGCAGAGCGAGCAGAATTCTTCCTAAGGGTAAGAGGCTTGTTAGACAGCATCATGAACACTTGTTTCTTGTTTAACCATGCCATTTATCTGGCTGAGGACTGACTCTATTGTCTCCACAGCAACATATTATAGCATTTTTCTTATTTAACTCACTCAGCTCTACCTCTCTTTTCTCTCCTTAGGATTTTCTGGTCACTCAGCTAATAGGAAAAGACCTGTTTGATATGTGGAAAGTGGTCAACCCCATGGGACTACTGGTGGAGGAACTTACTAAGAGGAACATTCCTTTGCCAGAGCCTCGTCTCATCAGGTCTGCTGGAGCCAGTACTGTCCTGCCACTATACTTCGTCGGCTTGTACAGGTATGTGTGCTGTTCTGGGTGCTGTCACCCAAATTACAGTAAATGAAGTTGTTTTTTTTTTTTAATGAATTAAAAAGGTTGGAGTCACAGCTGACATGTTAGTTACAGGTTACTTGTTTGAGGTTTGGGTGAGATTCAGATAATTCATAGTAATGGTTAAAGTTATTTTGTGTGTAATCTGCCAATTTTACATATCTTGTGTCTGTTTGCCTGTTGTGTTGATTCAGTGATAAGAAGCTTCTGGCTCAGGGTCCAGGAGAGACACTTATAGCAGCAGAGGAAGAGGCAGCTTATGTGGCCCTGCGGAGACTTTATGGATACACCGAGAACTGCAAACCCTTTGACTTCTCTCCACAAAAACAGCAGCATCAGCAGCCATTAATTCAGTCAGTCAGCAGTAATTAAAGAAGCAACTCTTAGGCCGCAGCGGGAAATCATATAAAAGATATGCAGCCAGACAGGAAAGTGGCGTGAATCTACTCAAAAGTTACTTTGAGATCTTGTTTGCTGACTATAGAATTGCAACACATTGTAAGAAGAAAGTAAAGGGAAATTAGGTCACCATTTACCTTATTAAACATAGTCCAATGCTTCGTTGTCATTTTCACCCATACATAGGCAGTAAGCTTTATTGTCCAAATAAAACATGTGACTATCTTATAAGATATTGCTTTTTGTTGTATCAGAAGATCTGTTATCATTTTGTAAGTTATAAGTCCACTGATCCTATAGCTAAAAACCTACAGGTTCAGCTGTCTGTGGAACAAAATATCCCATATATCTGTTTGTCCTTGTAAATAATACAACTGATATTTGGTTTACTTTGCATTCTGTTATGATGTTCATATGTAATAAAGTTTGTGTACATCACGACTTTGTTCATACATGTTTGGATCTTCTTGTGTATGCTTTTAAGATAAATATGTGGATAAAATTGATATCTCTATTTTTTACATAATGGTTCATCTGTAGGTTAATGCATAAAGATTTGGTTCATGTTCTGCATAGGTCATAAAGAAATACAATCCTTCCTGTGGGTTTCAATGTGTAGATAATGAGCGTACATCTATAGGATTATTCTTTAAACTGGAAGGGACCTGATGAGCCTTCATTCTTTTTGGCAAGCACATTTGTACCATACCATAATTTTATTATAAATAAATCCAGAATCCAGCGACTTTTCACATGAAAGTTTCACCAAAACTAGTCATCGCACATTTTCGGAAATAACTTTTTTATATATATATTTGTATTACATTAAAAACGTAAGCATTACAAAAACACATCACCGTAGTTCCACATAATTTTGTTTGCCCACTGTAGTGATGCAGTGACAGAGCTAATCCACATGGCGGAGCTGGTGTGTTAAGAAGTAACGGTAAGGCCACAACTGAACCAAAGATATCAATCTACTGAGACAAGATAGTTCAGGTCCTTTCCTAGAAATCGGAATCCGCACTTTTACAGGAAATTCGTAAAAAAAAAGTCACCTTATATCCACTCTGTGTTAAACGATGTTTGCATATTCCTCATGATGGGATAACTACATACAATGTAACAGAACAGAATAGGTAATTGCAAGAATATAATTCAAATTAGTTGTTGTAGATGGTCAAAACTACGCACTACGCAGTGACGTACATTCAGGGGAACATCATTGCTGTATACGACCACTATGTAAGTAGTAACTCTGACTTAAGATACAATTCGTCTGGACGAATTATTTTTGCAAACATATTGGAGCATAAGGACATTTATTATTTAGCTCTGACACAAAATGAAGCGGGGTAGTCGATATAACGGTATTTAAGCGAAGGCGGAAATACGTGGCAATAAACCTCTCGTTGCTTCAGTTAACCTGATCCAATGCTTGAACTCCTTGTTCGAGGAGACGCGAGGCCGCCCCTGACCTCACGGAGCCACCTACTCATTCCTTCTCTGTCTTCTGCACGGGTCGGAAACCGTTAAAAAGCACAACTCTTTGTTTTAGTTGTAGCTAACTCTCTAGTCTTTCCCGGTTTTATTTAATCCTCCCTTACCATGGCGGCGAGTGCGAAACGAAAACAAGAGGAGAAACACCTGAAGATGCTGAGAGAAATGACGAGTTTACCTCCCAACAGAAAGTGCTTTGACTGCGACCAGCGCGGCCCAACCTATGCCAACATGACTGTGGGCTCCTTCGTATGTACCTCCTGCTCTGGCATCCTGTAAGTATTAACTTGCTGAGTGACCTTAGCGTCGACATGGCGCACATAATATAACGTTTTAGTGGGTTTCCGTTACATGCGGCAACCAAAGTCAATTAGCAACTGTAGCACTAGCTATATATGTTTCCAGTAGTGTCAGTGTGAGTTTAAGGTGTTGGGCGGAGTACATAGAGGTGTCAGTGTTCAGCACGACGAGCTAGCAACCACCGGGAGGCTAGCTAACTTTAGCTTTGAATGCTAGCCAGTGAAGTTAACTGACACTTGCAAGCTAGGTCAGATAAGCGAGCTAACAGCACTACCAGTTGCTGGCACCGTTACGAAGCACCACCTTGTAACTGAGCAGGATTGCTTAATAATGGCATAATGCTACCTCCCAACCAAAAGACATAGATATATGTTTAAATACTATGCTGGGCGAGGTTTCATTTTATATCTACGAATTTGTATTGTGTGGTGGTGGAAGAAGTACTCAAGTTCTTTACTTAATAAAAATAACAGTATTACAGTGTAAAAATACTATGTTACAAGTAAAAGTCCTACACTCAATATGTTATGTTGAAATTGTAACTACCTCCTGGGTTCATAAGTTGAAGTACTTCTGGGTATTTTGTGAATTTTCCACCAGGGATCAATAAGGGCATATCATTATGTTGTATTTTGTATAGGCAGTCTGATTCTGAAAAGTCATGTCATTAACGAGTTATCAGACCAAAGCTATAAAATAAATGTAGTACAATATTTACCTCTAAAATGTAGTGTCAAAGTATGAAGTAGCAGAAAATGAAAATAGTCAAGTAAAGTACAGATACCTCAAAATTGTATTTAAGTACAGTACTTGAGTAAATGTACTGAGCTACTTTCCACCACTGGTATTATGCGTCCATTTGTGATTATAACGTTACCTCATGGATGAGCTAACAGTTTGATTTTGATACCATTAGCTGTGTTTAGCAAAGTGATTTTGTTGCGGGATGTTAAGTGATGGTAGCTACCTCAGGCATATGAAAGTCACTTTATGTTGAGATGTGAGTGGTAATGCAGTGCCAGTATTCATGTCATGCTATGAGTTATATTTAGTCTAGACAGTCATATAGTTTTGTATCTGATACAGAACTTCACTCGTGTCGTCTGTAGTCCCTACAAAGGCTTAAAAACCTATTCACGGCATTGGTATTTTAAGTGTAGCTTGATGTCTTGACTTTAGATTGACTTTAGATAGTGATTGCCTGGCTTAAAACTTTGCTGTGCAGTTGTGTAACCAAGCATCTGTACCTTGGGATTTGGGATTAGTGAAGCATGCAGTTTCTTCTTATTCAGCTATATGTAAAACCTAATGCAGCTGTCAAATTGTGCATATTATAAAGGTTTTCAGCCCTACAAAGAAAGTGGTCTTTTGTAGTTTTGACAATTTATTGCATGATGCTCTTATGGTTTTTTTTTTTATCTATTACTTAATGATGGGTAGAAGGACATAGTGTAAATATTTGCGTTATATTATCTATGCATGAAATAATGCTAATCTGCAAGTAAACATCCTTGTGTGAACGCCTTTGATGATTACACTGCTTTCTCTTCTACTTGCATTGACATCTGATTCACCGGAGATTAGACTGGAGCCAGATGTTGTCTCAACATTTTTAAAATCAGGAATCTTGGTTTTACTTAGTCTTTGGAAACATATCAATTATGTTTACTTATCGCAAACCGTTTTAAGTTAAAACATTTTAGAAGAGTAATTTGGCAGTGGATTGTTGGGTAAACTCAAGCAAGTCATTTGTCCATCCTGTGCTCTTCATTTACAGTGTCAGCAGCCTGCACTGGTCCTTTGCAATGCTTGATGGAAATCACCCTGCTATTTTGGGTTTGCGAATAATGATTATTCTAATAATATTTTAGGGGAAAGGAAAGGTATTTGTTGTTTGGTTAGTAATTCCCCACCAATGCACTTTATTACTTTCTAATGTTTTATTAGTCAGCAGAAGAACAAATGACTGCTTTGACATTGTCCCTTAGTCTGCCTAAGATTCAGCCTTTGTGATCATAATCTGTGCAAGCTGTTTCAGTTGTCTCCATTTTTGAACATAAAGGTTATTTACTGTAGCACTGAAAAGAATGAGATTAATTGCGTGTTTGCTAACAGGCAGAGTTTGACCTCCATTTCACTTAACCAGTGAGCCTGCAGGGACTCCACTGTAAATTTCCCATCTGCTCACCCTTTGGTGTACAAGTTTGTAATGTGAGTTAATAGTCTTCTTTTATAGCTTGAGATCACAATTAAGAATTTCTCCTATTTCTCTTCTTCTGTCTTTTTGTTCACTTTTTAATTAGACAAAACATGTTAGGGAGGGGCATTGAGAATATTCTTCGCAGCAGAAGAGTGGGGTTATGAAAGGATTGATGATGTATGCAGGAAGCTTGGTGTGATTGTACATTCGGGAAGTGGCATGGCCCAACCGTGCTGCTACATCAGCAGCATGTGATTTTTATATGTGCAACAGGAAGTGGCGGGTCACTGTCAGATTCTTATTTCCTTTTAATTCTAAAGAGGCAAATATGTATTTTAAGTGGCTGGCTAAATATTTATGCTTGTACTTGATGTATTATCTTGGTTATTGTTTTAAATACCATGACTGTTGTATGAATAAAATCAGTGTGCGCTTATTGTTCTGTACTAGGACAGCAATCTTCAACACACATACTCATCTCTCTGTGTACTTTGCATTTACCTTTAAAGATTATATTGTTGGTTCAGTGTTTTAAGTCCTAAACAGTAGTTGGGCAGAGGCATTTCCGAGGCAATTGCTGGAGTAGCTTTTATTTGCAGTTTGGGCAGCAACAGTGTTTTCTTGATGAGGGGTGGTCACAGGGGTATGATGAATTAACTCAATCTCACACATTTCTCCTTCCATAGTTGTGGTCATTTAATGGGTGGAGCTGGAATCTGCTATGTAAACACATTCCTTGTGAAGGTGGAGGCCTTCCCAGGAGGTCCACCGCTTACAATGTCTCTTTCTGCAAGACTGTACATGACAGGAAGTAGCACCACTTGCTTGTGCTTTCCTGAGTAAGCAGGGCTGTAACAGTAACTACACCATGACGGAGCTGGGGAGGTGTCACTGATACCAAACCAAATGTCCCAGATAATATTAATCAATGGTAAGTTAACAGACCTGACCTGAATTCTAAAACTCACAAAGGGTTCAATAAGGATATCTTTAGGGTGATAAATTGCTGACAGTACATAAATGATTAGATGGTGAGCTATTAAAAAATGAATTTCCTTTTTCTATGATAAAAGCTGCTTAAAACAGGAGTAAAAAGATCCTTTTTGTAGAGACTTAGAGCAGCAAAGTCAAGGATGGTGCATTGTTTCTCCTCTCTTTGAAACGTTGCCAGTTTCTCTCACCCTGGAGCTGCTACAGTATGCACAAGAACTGAGTTTCCCTTGACTGAGCTGGTACAGTAGCGACTAGATCATAATTATTTTACTGTGCAATATGTGATACTTTTCTCTGATGCACTATGCTACTCATTCAGCCATGATTTGAATATAGGTTGAATTAGTAACTAGACCTGAGCAATGGGTTGATTAAATTGTTCAGCTTTGTATTGGAGGCATTAGTGATGTGTACAATATTGTAATGTATGAAGTAACTGTATTATTTCTTTATTTCGCCTACTTAAAAATTACTGCTGTCATTTAATTCTCCCTACAAATATAATCTAGTTGTCACTGGACACTGTTCAACTTGTATTGCTACTTTGTCCAGGGTGTGTAAGACTGTTGCTGTGCGTGGTACCAATTGGATTTAATATTGCTATTAAAACTTTTCTTTATAATGTTTTTCATGTATTAGGCAAACTTGTGATTTACTGGGCTACATAAACAAAATTTAATGACAAACCCTAAGCGATGGCTTGCTTATTTTGTCTGGCCAACAGAGTTTATTATAAGAAATAGAAATCAAATCCTCAAACTTGTAAAGGTACATCCTATATATAATATATAAAAAATTTAACAAGCTCTTCTTTTCCATGGCCGGTCCTTTAGATGATGACGTATAGCAGTTCTATTAAGGTGTTTTTTCTTTGGATTTATGACTTTTTTTGGCCCTTAACTGTATTTTCAGAGTGATACCAGCATGACATAACTGGACACAAATGGTGAAATAATATAGAAACGTTCATGGATTGTGTTTAAGTGAGGAAGTATGGATGGCTTCATTAATAGACACATGGTCTTAGAATATGAATTCATATAACAACTTCAGATTCAGTGTGTTTTGGACCAGGTTGTGACTGCTTTATTTCATGTCAGAGATGATTTATAAGCCCACCTGTTGTTTGTGGTACAGTCAGCTAGTTGCTGGATGTGTATAGAATAGGTGGAGACACGGTCAAGGTCTGTAAGGGGTAACAGCAGTAAATAATTTAGCCACCTTGTCTAGTATTTCACTACCATTTTGCTGGGACATCTCAATGTATATCGAACTGTAACTATGACACTGTGAATCCTATTTCCTGGAAGGTTGTCCAGCCTTTCATACAAAAATGAACAACCAAAGGTTGAACTGTATCAGTTGTGCCTTTCTTCTAAAATGTGTTGTAATCTAATTTTTCGATCTAAAAATCTAGTCCAGTTGATTTTTTTTTCTAAGTTTTTTTAGCCTGCTATGACCTGGATGACTGAGAATCTTCACTGACATAATCTAATTTTAGCACTGTAGTTGACAGTGGTCGATAGCACAGCTGCCTTTTCAAACCTCTTGGCAAAAAAGGCAAATAGTTTTTGAAGAACATTATGGGAAAGGTTTGGCAAAATGTTTCAGTCCTCCATTGGCAGCCTTATGTCCTCCTTTCAGAATTTTCCAAACAAATTTACCTTCATACATGAATTTAAGTGCAAGGATGGTCTATGAAATATCTGATGTAGGACATAAACATATTTTTGACTAGCTCTGGCCTGCTCCTACACTCTATATCGGGTGGCCAATTCCAGTCCTCGAGGGCTGCTGTCCTGCTTGTTTTCCAACTATCCCTGCCTGACCTGCTGCTGAGTCAGAAGCTGGAAGATACCATCTTAGATGAAAGTGGAGTGAGGAAAGATAAAGTGAATTGGTATGCTCTTCAGTACACCAAACTAGTATAAATGACGGAGGAATTACACCTGCTGCTGACATGCTGCTTTTACTACTTGGTCTGTGCAGATAAGGAACGCAAAGATGCTTTGGGTTGCAGTTTTGGGTCAGTGCAAGAGCAGTCTTAATGAAATCTCACTCATGACTCCAGTTTGATCTACTGACCGTTAGGCACTTTAGCTACTGCAAAAAGGTACTGAAAGATATTGTTGGTCCACCAGTCAGATAGTCTGATGACTCGTTAATGACGTGACTAAAATACTTAACATGGGAAGCTCATTGATGCATATTAGACAATACAGCAAATAAGCAGTCTTCTCCTTTTTCTGAATGCGAACGTGCTCAGGAGTTACATTCCACTTGCAGTTAAAACATTCACTTTGCGTGCTAAATGCTGGTTGGTCACCTTCACAGACAAAACAGGTTGCAACCTTGAAGTCGGCACTACTGTAGTTTTCTTTTACTGGTGGGTCCAGAGAAAATTACTCAGGGCAGCAGGCCAGGAGCTTAATATAAAAGCCTACTGATGACTCTTTTCAAGTATTAGTTACCAGGCATTTTTAATATAGGTCACTGAAGCAGGTGCTGTGACCTCAGAAAAATGAACAAGGCTTGTGTGGGCTATAAGTTTTTATTTAAAGAGCCCGTGTTATGCTCATTTCCAGCCATTTAATTTTTAAACTTGGGTACCTCTAGATTAGCTTTGCACCCATCATAACTCCAAATCGTCTATACTTATTTCAGAACGATATCATAAGAAGAGTCTCCTTCTGAAAATGAGAGGCTAGTTCATGAACACACTCAACTCCTGTTGCTGGTCAGGAAGCTACGACAATGCATAAACAAAAAATCTTTGGCAAATAAGCTGTTTTTGACAGTGACATTACCTCAAATCCTGCCTGACATGTTTGAGCCAGAATGTGAAAATGGACAGCACGACGAACTGCAACTGCATAAATTTATTTGAATTTCTCCCCCATGGTTAGGTAAACAACGATATACGTACCAATGAAAAGAGATTTGTGGCACTCTAAACAAAGCATATTTTAACTGGTATATTGCAGGCATAGTAACTTCTCCAGCCTTACAACAATTCTCTCTACAGAAACAACACAAACACACATGCAATTTTTTTTTTTTTTTTTTTTTTTTTTTTTTTTTTTTTTTTTTTTTTTTTTTTTTTCTTACCATTGCATCCCACCAATTAGTGGAAACCTCACTCCCTTTCAAGTAGCTCCAAGGGCGGTAAATCCAACGGGTGATCGCTGTGTCTTTCCCCACAAATCCCTCCTGCTACAGGCGACCATATTCGCAGAGTAGTGAAATTAATTCCAACAGGTCGCGTAGCGCTGACAGTAACATCACGGATCCTTAGAATCCTCTCGCCAACCCTCAACACATCACATGTGGCAGACACACTGGCTTCAAGCAGTCAAAACGAACAGGTACTGTGCTCCTGGCGAATCCAGCATTGATGAGCTGTTCATTCTCCACCACGGGGGGGCTTCACTGGCTGGCTGCTTGTAGGTTAGACCCAGTCAGGTATAACAGCGAGTCCCTGTACATAAGCATTCCTTGATATGTAGTAACTTCAAGCCCTGTATTTTTCTCCACATCCTCTGGTCACAATGCAGGCAGCAGGAGATGAAACGTTTCCACAAAACTGTGTCGAAAAATCCTGCTGTTAATATGGCACCGGTTGTCAGGCAAGCTTGCACGAGTGTGCACTGCCAGGAGTTTATGACTGTTCAAGGAAATCCATAAACTATTGCATAAGACTTTACATAGTTGGGGGGGAAAAAAGTCTTGTCAGTGAAAGTTTGCGAGACTTGTAGAAACAGAGTTGCTTCTTCATATAAATACAACACAATAGGTACACCTCATTTTTTGAGCTTTGAGTCACGTTTAAGATGATAAGTCAACATTGTAGATAAGTCAAAACACACAAAAGCATGCCATGGGCGCTTTAAGGGAGGTCGTTTGTTCTTTTACAGTATGGACAACTTTAGTTCAGGCTGTTGTATAGCGGTTTGTTCTGCAGTTCCTTTGTGTTGTTATATCCTACTGTGTTATGTCTTCAGATCAAATTGAACCTTGTTCCCATTTCTTCACCTACAGACGAGGACTTAATCCACCCCACAGAGTCAAGTCTATCTCCATGACAACCTTCACGCAACAAGAAATTGATTTCCTACAGAAACATGGCAATGAGGTAGGCATGGCTTCTGTGTGCCCTGTCACAGTTCTTACTTAAGGTTGAGGTCAAATTCCCCATTGCTGTGGGAAGTTTGGTTTACAGACTGCTACCCATTTGGTTTAGCTTTGCATTTTGTCATCACTGTTTTAATCCTATATTTGCTGTCCATCTATTGGGTACGTTTTGGACAATATGAACATTTCACTGAAGAGTGATGGACTATGACTTCTCAGAAAGCTGGACATGGATATCTTGACAGAATATGCATATCATTCTTCTCGGAAGTACTTTGACCTTCATAAGTAAAACTGTGGATGACAGCCTTGAGCCAGAAGGGAAAAAAAACTAAATATAGATAAAATATTTCAAAGTTCACATAACACATTGATATAGGAATATTGTTGTGGCCTTTGAGCACAACTTTTTAAATATCTCAATATTATGACTATTCCTCTTTCAGTAATATACATATTTTAGACTTGGTACCCTATTATAATATTTACAAGAGAAAGTGCATCAGCACAGTCAAATAACTTAATAGAAGGTTCTCCACAATTATGCAGCCTTGCACCTCTACATTTTAGCCACTTAGTTTTTCTATGGTTCAAACATTTATTCCTTGATTGAGCTTCACAACTCTCATTAACCTTTCATTTGGCAGAATCAGACACTTCTAATAAATCCATTGTACCCTTCTTGCCTAGCACAAAATGGCACACGAAGAATTTTACAAGTTTGTGGAGACCAAACTAGCACTGGAAGACCAGTGTTTTCTTTTTTCATCATATGTTCTGTGTCTTTCAGATGTGGAATTTAGCCATAACATATTCATGAGATGATATAATAGGGATGTGAGTCTATCAAAGTTGAACATTAAAAGTTGAAGTAAATTTCAGTGATGTAGCAGTGACATGGTTGCTTTTTTTATCCAAAAATTGTGTGCATCATAAATGCATGAATGTTGCGCTGTTCAAAGCTGCTTGTCTTTCAAATTATACTGTTATCCATCACAATCCAACAGAGTAGCCCCCAACAATTACAACTGTAGTGCACAGAGCAAAGTGCCTCATCCTTCAAGACCCATTTCTGGTAAACTGAGTATGAAATAGAGCAATGCCACCTAGGAAGTAAAGCCTATTAAAAGCTGTACAAAGTGGCATTGCTGGAAGACATGCAAGAGAATCAAGGTTGGTTGATGCATATTTCCTTCAAGGCTACTATATAAAAACACTACTGCCTTTCAGGTTTTTGTCTTGCCAGAGAGAACACTTGACACACAAAAAAATGATTATAAAGAAAAAGGGAGTTTGAATATGCTGTGAGCCTGTGCATGCGCACTAAAACTAGCTAAAGAAATAACAGCAGCACCCCATACTGAGTGCAGACACACATGAGTGCTATAAATCTCCCTTTACAAGATTAGGCAAATACTTATGGAATTCAATCCAAAACCCAAGGTCAGAGGAAGGTGAGGCCTAGTATGCTTCAACACCAAGCATTTCGGTTCAATCTGTGTTTCCCAACAGGAGGCCAATTCATATTTGACTTTTCCACACCAAACATGGCAAACATTCAATCCTTGTGTGAAACATTTTACAAAGGTTGTTTGTCTGTGCAGCACACCACATAAGTGGACAGTCATCTGCACTGCTTATATCTTTCTACTTTGCACTACTTTTTGGTCCTAGTCTAAATTTCACATGGTTACATTTTTAAAACAATAGTAGGTGGGCTTTTGAAATTAAAGGATAAGGCTGATCGTTTTCTATATTAATAGTATTTTCAGTAATCCATAATCCATAAAGTCCATACAGAGACTATAACAGACAATGATTTGCCTCTTCATACTTCCATCCATTTTCTTTTGCATATCCAAGATCTCTTCATGGTGGCAGAAGGTTCAGCAAGGTAGTCCAGACGTCCCTGGCAACGTTTTCCATCTCCTCTGGTGGAATTCTGAGGTGGACCCAGGCCAGATGAGATATGTAATCTCACCAGTGTGTTCTGGGTCTACCCCGGGATCTCCTACCAGTTGGACTTGCCAGGAAGACCTCCGGAGTGAGGCGTCCTGGAGTCTTCCTGATAAGATGCCTGAACCACTTCAGCTGGCTCCTTTTGATGTGAAGGAGCAGTGGTTCTACTCTGAGCCCCTTCCAGATTTTCAAACTCCACACCCTATGCCTAAGGCTAAGTCCGGGCATTGTACAAGGGAAAGACATTTTAGCTTATTCTTTCGGTCATTACCCACAACTCATGACCATAGGTGAAGACTGGAGCTAGACTGACTGGTAAATTGAGAGTGTTGCCTTTTGGCTCAGCTCCTTTACTATGATTGATCGCTGGCTGCGTAGGCTAAATCTAGGAGATAGATGATTTGTCTCTATTCACGGTTAATGGCTGTCAGTCTTGGATTAGCTTGTTCATGTGTGTGATAGACCATTGTTGTTCAAAAATAAATAAAAACACAGCACTGTATTGGGTGACTTGTTTTTTTTTTTTTTTTTTTTTTTTTCCATAACAAATGTCCATGCATGAGATCTTGCGTAAGCTTTCTGCTTTGCTTTACATTCCACTAGCTCCTCATGCTCGGGTCTGAGGTTTGCTAATGAAGAAACATGTCACCTAGTACAGTGGTGTGTTTTCATTTTTTTTTCTTTTTTACAACAATGCAGGTCTATGGCACAGACAAATAAATTAATCCAGGACTGACAGACATTGAACCGTGAGTGGAGGAAATTCATTTTCTTTTTTATTAATATAGAAAATGACCTGCCTTATCCTTTAACCTGCACATATTGGCTTTAAGGTGATGAACAATATCATCAGTAGGTTTCCCTGTGGTTTATCTTTTTGTTTTCTTGTGCTACTGTTTCACTTTGGCTTAACAGTTTAATGGCAAATTATGAAGGCTGGGAAGCACGGTACTTGTGTGCTACAAAAATGTTTACCAAAATCCTGTTCTTTAACTTATTGTATTTCTCTGTGTGTTCCAGGCATGTAAACAGATCTGGCTTGGCCTTTATGATGACAGAACTTCCCCAGTGCCAGACTTCAGAGAACCACAGAAAGTCAAGGAGTTCCTTCAAGACAAATATGAGAAGAAGCGATGGTGAGTACATCTTACAAGCTGGCAGTGCAAAGATATGAACAATCCACTGAAAATGTGCACTGTGCAGATATGTAGCAATCTGTTTTTCTTCTCTGTTGCTTGGAATTTTTCACAAGCAGCTCATAGCAGTTAGCCTCGAGCAAACCACAAGATACCCTTCCTTAAATACACAGAATGTAGGTTCTTGCAGTCAAGCTGCTGTATGGGCATAATTTAGTTGTTACATTAAGCTATAGGTTTATTTGTGTTCATGAGATTTAGCATATTTGTTACTGGTGAAATGTGACTTTAGTGTTGCAGCTAATGAGAGCACTTATTCAGACCTAGTCAAATGAGTGCCTGCCATTTTTATAGTTGCAAATCAGGGCTTGGTCATCAAATGTAAATATTAAATTTAATGATACTGTTGGCCTGTGCAGTTAAGCTTTCCATAAACACTGAGATGAATTATTAACACGAATGTGTGACATGGGTATTTGTTGAGACTATTCATCTAATAGAGGACCATTGGATTATTAGTTTAGGTACTGTAGTAGTGCTTTTGTTACCTCTCACTGTTTAGTCTGAAATCTGAACAAGATGAGAGTGAAGAGCAGTGCATGCCTCAACATGCCACCATTTGCTCCAGATAGGCGTTCTCACACATGTAGGCCATTTTCCTGTAACATACAAATATACACACCAGTAATGGTACAACGTCTACATATGTTGGTTTTACAGAGTCATGGCTGGTCTGCTATTTGTGAATCATATTTCCACCCAAAAATTGAATGTTATCACATTTGGATTTGCCATAAGGTTTTAATACCACTGTTTTGAAAATCCTGTAATATGTCAGTTTATTCCAGTAGCGTCTGGTAGGATAAAGGGTCTATCAGATATACATACTGACCATTGTGATGTGCTGTACTGTATATTTTCTCCATAGATATTCTTTCTTTTGTTGGTTTAATGTAATGCATATGATGGGAACTGTTTCCTAGGTATGTACCTCCTGAGCAAGCCAAGGTAGTTGCTTCGGTCCATGCCTCCATGTCTGGCTCCTCTAATAGTAGCACCAGCAGCACCCCAGAGGTTAGACCACTCAAGACCCTGCTGGGCGACTCAGCCCCCACCCTACACCTCAACAAGAGCACCCCACCAAATCAGGTGAGATTTTTGTAGTGAACACAAATAAACACATTCCTAGTTTGTAATTACTGCCAAAAGGTTTGGCTCATTTTCTCAAACCATCTTTGATTATCCCAAATTCGTTATAGTACTGGCATCAAAATATGGGTTTTGAACATCTTGTTCTAGCCATAGATGCAAGCTGGAACATAAAACATGAAAACAAAATGAAAAGATCCGGCCATACAAGTTGCAGAATATATTTTAAAAGCACTACAGTTTTCACTAGAGCTGTATTCGACTAAAAATTCTGTCAGTAAACTGTCGGTTTAGATTTGGTTTATATTTTTGTCACATTTTGCAGCAAACGCAGCAGGCAACCAGTTTAAGTCACCAGCTTTTGTGTGACTGGTTTACAGGAAGAAAGTACAGTAACTGATTTATCTGAATGATAAACTCTGGTTTTTGATACTTGAAATTAACTTTAACCCCATTTTTTTATATCTTACAGTTGCAAATGTCCAATTTGTGTATGTCTGGATAGAAAAATTAACCCATGTGAATTCCTCTAAACCAATGAAGCCTCATTATGTTTTATCACATTTTGATTTGTTATCAGTGACTAATCCATGTCTTGCTTCTCCCAGTCTCCAGTGGTGAGCCGTGGACAAGCCCTTCAGCAACAGTTCCATGACAAGAAGTTTGACCTCCTCAGTGACTTGGGTGGAGACATCTTTGCTGCCCCGCCCAACATCAGTGCGGGTGTCAACTCCGGTTTTGCTAACTTTGCACATTTCAGCAGCCATACAAGTAAGAACCAGAGTAACTGACTAAATGCAGTGGAAAAATTGAGCAATATTCTCAGGCAGAAACTCCACTCTTAAGCATGAGTGTGACTTTTTCTGTGTTCCAGAGTATTAACACTGTGGTGGGAATTTTACTAGATGAGAAGATAGAAAAATACAAAATACCTAAACATGACAAAAATGCAGAAAAGTGATCTACTGAGATGCGAAGATGTTAGTGAATGGGGGGGGTGAAGCCATACAGAGGACAGATCAAAACTGGGTTGCAGATGGAACACAATGCAGTTGCATCCAGTGGAAATGACGGGTTAGACCTCAAGTAATGTTGCAGCCATTAACATTTAAGGTGCTTAAAGAAAAGCCACATGCTGGTTGAAGCAATGGACACGTGAGTGCAAAACATGGTCATACAGCAGAGGTGCTATGGACAGACATCTCCATAGTTACTAATGTCTTTATCATCAGACTATTTGTGTTTGCTTCCATTATCAAATGATGTCCTCTCATTTCCCTCACTAAGAGCCATCAAGATTCACCCTTGGTGCATTCACCAGTGGCATCCACACATCTCCACATAGCAAACATGAACACAGATTTATACATCTCAGAGTAGTGATGTGTGTCCTAAACATATGCATTCAGCCTTATTTGCTGTGTGCTCAACAAGGAGTGCAGACAGCATCTCATAGGAGTGGGTGAATGTCAGGCTATCCTGTCCCACCTTCTTAAAGCTGCCGTGTTAAACCATTCTGTGATTAGTTCACATATTTGGCACATTATTCATTTTGCCCTCTCTCATTCCTACCTTTGGTTGTCATCTTTATAAATCAGCTCTATTATTAGCTCATCCAGTGTTCTCCTTTCATTGTTTTTTTTTTTTTTTTTTTCAACTTTGTCCAAACCTCATCCTGACACCACCTCCAGTGGCACAGACTGCCAATGCAAATGCAGACTTTGCTAATTTTGATGCTTTCGGGAGCACTTCTGGGCCAACAGGCGGTTTCCCCTCCGCACCCCAAGCCACGTTTCAACCTTCAAATACAGGTAGAGCAAGTTCTCTTCACTGGACAAATAACACATCATAATTACTGGCAAGACATTAGATTGCCCAACACATGAATTAAGAATGCGCATATAACTTATTAAAATCAGATAATCTGTGCCACACATTGTCAGTTTTTCCTGTCTATATATTTTTTTACTTTGTTTTTTACAAGGTTCATTCATCTTGTGTAAAAATGAAAATACCAGCACCAGAAGTTGCATGTTTTTTTTTTCCAAGTAGTACCAATAAAGTTTTAGAATCAGCAAAGTAAACAGAATCAGCAAATCTGGTTTATAAATGTTCTTAAGGCAGAAACACCTTATGCATATTTATGTACTCTAGAACAATTCAACAAATTGTTTTTGATTGCATTTAAACACACAACATTGTGTAAGTGCTTTAAGGCCAGAAATGGGGGGGCCACAGAGCACAAGTACTATGCTCCAGACTGAGTGCATCCCATGCAGACACACTAAAAGTTCCACTTGTAGCACTTGAGGTTCAAAATGGATTTTAGTGTTAGGTGATAGGACTAAAATGTCTTGAGAGATATGCTGTATCAATCTTAATTTTTTAAAATTAAAAATACTATAAAATGATAAAGATTACTGGTTTGTTAATGCCGCAGTACTCTTAACTACATTGAGTGCACCCCTAAAGGTATATTGTAGGAATGTTTTGAGAATATATTGCATACTTAAATTGAGTGTAAATGTATGCAGACTGGATTTTGTACAGTGTGATTTAGTCAAATATATCACTCCTACTGCCATTATAATTACATATGTTGTACTGGAGGCATCTAATCTCACTTGTGTACGTCATGTTGGACCATATTTCATTCCGTAATACTGCACTTGTCATGTAAAACTCCTAAGTTTCTCAGCAGTAACTGGCTGTCTAGTTTTGCATGGGAACACAGTGTCTTCTGTCACTTATACAAAAACAATAGTGACTCATATACTAACACACTTAAGCCTCCTCCCCTAGTCTCAGGGAAATGTTGTGTTCTACAGTACCCTCTGCTGGAGGTCCATTTTGATAATTATCTTTCCTTGGTGCTGCACAGGGATCTTTCTTTTTAGTAATCCCTCTTTCACTGGGCCACTGACTGTTCTATATGTCTCCAGCTGTCGATTATGTTTCATGTCTTTCATCATTTGATTCAGCAGCAGTTGATTTGCTTTACATTCATGCTATTTAATTTTTACCTCTGGATTGGTTGATGTCGTTTCCTTTTTTTTTTTTTTCTCCACCCTGTCTTACATTGCTCATTGTCCCATTTCTCCATCCCTCCCTCCCACTTTCATTTTTGGCTGCCAGCATTCACTGTGCTCTCATCCAGCCACAGTATGGGTGAGTTTGCCACTGCGCTGCCTTGTCACCTTCTTCTGCTGTCTCTTATGTGTAGTCACTCAGATCCTCCTCTCTCTGAATGTAATGTTTGTCTCAGAATGTTGTCCTTTTTGTGTCTACAACTGTGAGTCACAATTAACATCCACTAGGATTAAAACAGGAGAAAAATGCTGCTTATTTGGTTGCTGTCTGTACTGAGAACTATTATGGAGATTAACTGGAAGGACAAAGAGCTGTAAAATAAAAAATGAAAGAGCAGAAATTATTTTAAAAATAGGGTAGAAGCTGACGGTCGATGTACTGTTTTGAACGTATCCTTTTCCTTCTTCTGGTTGAAATTTAACTAGTGTGGTGGTTATTGTAGCATTACTAAAAATTCCCTTCTGTACCCTTAATGAACTACTCTGCTGTGTTAGGTCTGTTTTACCTCAGCCCAGTCTTTTGTTCTTCTCCTGAGTTCTGCATGTTACAAAGACTCATGGAGTCTGATCTAAGTTGTTAACAATATCTGAAATAAGAGTGTTAATTAGCATAATTGGCAAACAGAAGCATGTACAGTGCAACAGTTTACCCATATCAAAAGTGGTAAAATTAGAAGCACTTCTTGAATTAACTTTGTTCCCAGCAGAAAATACACAGCTCTTTTTTTTTTGTTTGTTTGTTTTATTAAACAAGCAGTGACTAATGTGTAATGAATTTTCAAGTTTTCCATGTCATTGTTAGTAGGTTTTGGTTGGTTTCGTCTTTATCTGCCTTGATCCATAGTTTGGCGCTGAACACAGATGTAACTGAGGCGTTGCGTTCATAGGCCAACGGTGAACCAGATTAGTGCAGTGTTGCAGTCTGTCCTATAGATAACAAAGGGATCCCAGCCCCTCTCTGACTCTGCCCCGACTTCTCCTTCCATTCAGCTCCCCTTCCACCACGTTAATGCTCTTAATACTAAAGCAACAATCGAGGTCCCCTTTATGACTTTTTAAATCTCTTTTTTCATGCAGGTAGTGCCCCAGGGGGACTAGCAAATGCCAATTTTGCAAAATTTGACAACTTCCCCAAATCGCGTAGTGCTGACTTTGGATCCTTCAGTTCCTCTTCCCAGAGTAACTCCTCAGGAGCTGACAAAGGTGCTGTAGAGAGTGCTAGCATCCCTGCCGATAGATATGCAGCCCTGGCTGACCTGGATAACATGTTTAGCTCTGCCAAAACAGAGCAAGGTAAATTTCTCCTGCTTAGCCATAGAGCTCTTTTGTAGGGATTGACTTTGGCATAAAAAGGTTGACACAACTAAAAACATTTATGTAGGCGCATAGATTTGAATCCCTGTGAGTCTTCTTCCCAGTGCAGGGATAGGTACAGGGCTGATTTACACTTTCCAGCAAACATTTAGTTCTCTGTCACTGAATGTTTGGCTTTGCTGAGCCTTGATTGCATTTTAAGACAGCCTTATATACATTTATTTAAATTTTTTTTTATCCACAATCGGTCCCCTGGCCTCGGTGCTACTGATACAGCCTGTGTAAGGACGACAGCCCACTGCACATGGTGGAAATTCTCTGTCCTTTAAAGAATGCTCTGTATTGTTTTCACTGGCGAGCTCTAATGTCACATGGTCAGAATTCTGGTACTCAAGCATCAGTGAACTGGGCTGGTATTAGTTTATTTTGTTCATGTTTCAAACTGTATTTCTGTGCTGGAAAATGCAAATTTCCTCATGACTGAACATTCATTCCCCATGATTTTCAATAGGTTGAATTTTGCAGCTTCCTCTGGACCATTGTTTGTTTGTTTTGTTAGTTTGAATTGAAGTGGACAGAATCCAGCTTTGCTCTTATGTACCT